TTCCAGAGATTTTCAATCAGGTTTAGATCAGGACTCTGGGCTGGCTATTTCATTATTTCAATGTTCTTAGCTCCAAGGAACTGCTTTACCCATTTTTGACGGGGAGATGAACGCAGGGAAAGCATGTAAGGAAACGATTTTGCGATTTTGACATACATGCTGTTGAGGGGCCCCCCTAGCAAATTCAGTGCACAGCGCCCAGAATTCCTAGCAACACCCCTGATTGTAGGTTGTCCCCTAATTTTGATCTCCACAATACAGTATATATATTCATTGGCAGGGTGGTATTCAAGAAACATTTGTTATTGTTATCAATATTGTAAACAGTTGTGCTGCTTAATAGTTTTGTGGAAATAATGATAGATTTTTTTTTCAGTATTCTTTGAAGCATAGAAAGTTTGATAGAATAGAATTTATTTGAAATAAAATTATTTTGTAACATTATGTCTTTACTAACTATACATCTCCTATTTTTTCAAATTAAGGTATATTTTTGATATTATATTTTTGTTACATTTTTAATAGTACGTAGGACCTGGTGAGTCAGAGATACGGTGTTAAGATTCTGTTCTTTCTGTTTCAGAGAGTTGCATATGATGGATACAACAACCTGGCATAAAATGAGAGGTCAGTGTCCATTAGACCATGATTGTATATTTGTTTCTTATACTGGATTGTGAGTAAATTTAAAAAGAAATAGTTGTTGTGGTCTTGTAGGTTCCCAGATGGTAGTGGCCATGAAGGCAGTTTCTCTTGCCTTTGACTTGGACAAAGGCATAGTGGAGAAATTTCCCTCTCCAGTTGAGTTTATGGGCTACATTTACTTTGTGGGGACGGTCATCTTTGGGCCTTGGATCAGCTTCAATAGCTACATGGATGCGGTAGAGAGTCGAAAACTTGTGAGTCTCAAATTGGAACTTTCGTTCTAAAACAAATTAGAATTAAAGGGGTTTAAGAGCATTAGGTGCTTCAACCAGCACTATATGTGTATCTATATGATGTATCTATATTACAGTATCTACATGATCTTTTTTCAGAGTGTCTCCTGGTTTTTGAAGTCAGTCTTCAGCTGTGTGAAGAGCCAGCTCTGTCTGGTAATTTCCAACTGTATTGCACCCTATCTCTTTCCATATTTCATCCCGGTCTTTGGAGACAAGCTGCTCCGCAAGTGAGTAATATAAAATAAGTTTGAGTTGAGAAAAATGATGTTGTTTTTCAGTGAGCAATGAGATGTGAAATATTGATTGATTCTTCTACTTCTAATATCAAATGTGTTCATATTAATTGTTGTGTTGCTGTCTGTGACTTAGTTTTTCATTTTTGACTGATCTGTTTTCATATTCTTTCCTCAGCAAGAAGCGAAAGATTAGGTATTGTCCTATTTATATTAGTCATACATTTATACATTTTAATCATTTGGAATAAAGACTCATACAAATTCATACAAGCATAAAACATACGTCTATATTTTATTCACTGTATATTCAGTGTCACATGATCCTTCAGAAATCATTCAGATATGCTGATT